TGAAATACCGGCCGTTTACGGCCGCATTGGGATTTTGACAGCGCATTAACGGGTGGCCTTTTACGGCCGGATTGGGTTATCTTTGGTCAGAAATAAGCGGCCGTATATGGCCGCATTGGGGCGCAAAGGGTTAATCCAAGTGAAACTATAACAATGTTCACCCAAAGTCACATTCGTGATCTTCTTATTGAATCTGTGGCACATCCACCCAGGATTCACCTATTATTTGTGTTTAATCTTTTGCACTTATGGATCTTGAGTCCAGTACACAACTACTACCCAACCGGCGAGTTTACAAAAACATTTGAGAACAGGCTCTTACCATCTTCACTACTGGAAAGCTTGCAACGTCCATTAGGTTTGTATTTCAATTGCACCTTGCGATTTATACCAGAGAAATGACCATACATTTCTAAAACAGTTTTCAGCTGTTCCAAGTTTTTCTTTTTCTCCTCTATCTCTGTTTCATCAGGGTTGGTTTTCAGTTCTGCCAGTAGAAACCTGGCTACATCAAGTACTTCCTGGAAATAAGACAACATAAGACGAAGTTGCATCAGTCATAGTGTCGTTTAATCACTTTATTTCAGTCTGTAGCATGTTTTATGTGGTTATGCCATTATATAATATTCAGAATAGGACAGGGTTTGAATCAGAACACCAATATGCTTCAAATATATATCAATACCTGTAACTGTGTTGGTCGCTTCAATTTAATTTTACCATACTTGTAACCACTATACTTTGAAAATAGTTCAAAGAACCTGGTGAATTGAAAAACATGGAAATCTAAGTAAATTATCACCACTGAGAGATATAATAATAAATCACATCTGTGTAACGATTGATAAATAATAGGCATGTAGAATTAACTTTTCAGCACCAAATTTTGTTCCCCACTCAAATTTGGGTAAATTTGTTCACATATTCTGTAATTTTCATTGAATTTTGGACCAACCAGACAAAATATGACACTGTTTCGAGTTATCGATTAAAACAATTGTGGAAAAGTGCACACTATATTGTGGGTTATAAAATAGAATTATAAAGGGTGGTAGTCAACATGCCAGGCATGCATGAGATATATAGGTCTCATATAAACAAAGATGGTGACTATTGTGTAGATCAACAAGTACAAACTGAGGCATTACCAAGCTTTAATTATAATTTTTTTAGGTTATTGGAAAGTATCAAAGGAGTCACCAGCAGTAATTAGTGCAAGTCGCGCCTAGGTCAAACCTCATACTTGTGATTTACATTTGAAGAGTGCATTGGATTGTGGGAAAATCAATGTTATCAACACTTATATCACACATGCACAGTTCGATGACCACCCTCCTTAATGTTAGCATTGATTAGCTATACTAAAAGCGTATTTCAATGTTTTTACTTGTTCACACCTCAGTAATGTGTATGGTAAACCGTGGAAATTGAAGGTATGTTTTCCTAAACGTACGATTTTGCCAGATTATTTTCCAGGCTGAGGTTATTTCGATGAAATTCATGAATGTAAAATTTATATTTGTTTCTGAATTTTCTTTTATAGGTAGAAACTTGTCTCATTTCAGCTGTATTTTGGTGGCAATTCTCATGTAAAAAATCACTCACTTTTGGTGCTTGACTTCCATTTTCATTTTCTGTTTAGGTGTTCTGTCTCCATGACGCATGACACCGATTACGCAGCGTAACTCCATCCTAGAGCGAAATAAATATATATTTCAATATACCCGACATACAACTGCAGTGTAAAAGCAAATGGGAAAAATGATTTGGTAAGGCATGGTACTGGCAGGTTATGATATGGTATGGTGTGGTACAGTACAGTATGATATGGTATGGCATGGCATGCATGGTATAGTAAGGTACAGAACAGAATGCACAAGGTAAGGTTGGACCATGTCGAGTAAGGTATGCTAGGGCAGGGTATGGTACATTTGTATGGTAAGGTATGAAAGGTAAAAAATAAGGTATGGTAAGGCTAGGTAAAAAGGATAATGTAAGGTAAGGAGGTAAAATATGGTAAGGGGGTAAGGTAGGGCAAGGTTTGGAAAGTAATGTAAATTATGGAAGGGTAAGGTCTGGAAGATCAGGAAAGTTAAGGTAAGATATGGTCAAGCAAGGAAGGTGAGGTAAGTATGTAAGGTAAAGGTAAGATACGAAAAGTAAGGTGAAGAAATGTATGGAAAGTAAGGTCAGTTCAGGTCAAGTATAAAGATATTTTAGAGATTACAATAACATTTTTCATTCAACTGTAAGTAGAAACAGGAATATATACAAATCTGTTTGATAGGAAAGCCATAACAATTAAAGTATAATAAAAAATATTAATTTGTTAATGGTCAAAGGAAATTTTCACTGGATGCTTTTAGTTCAATGAGACAATATTGCTCACTGAAGTTCTTGAGAATTTTATGCTACTTTGTTGGAGAGAAAAAAACGATCTGACAATGCTGCACAGGTCAGAATTTAGGATAAACATTTCAAGAACTGTGTATGCATGTATTTAGCTTGAAAACTGATTGTTGTATTCAGTGTAGATAGTAAACAGTGGAAAATATAGGCGCGCAACATTATCTACAATATATGTGTATACTGTATTGTACTAATCAATTCTAATGTAATCTTATTATTATCTAAGCATAGTTTTAAATGTTGTAGCATTGACTAGATGTATTTACTTTATTAGAAGGCACATCTCCAGTAGCTCACATGAATCAAAAATATCATTAATTGCGTACTGGATTATTGAAATATGACTTATTCTGCCTGCAGACACTTTTCTATGGTTTAAGCACTACCAATAAAGCAAATATGTATTGACAATATATAATACACTTAACCTTGACTGTGGAAGTTTAATGACATGATTTTGATATAATTAGAAGATAAATGAATACACTACTGGGTATAAGATGACCCTGTCATATGCAATAGATCTTACACGAAAATGGCCAGCACGATTTTGTTGAGAATGAGTAAACCACACAGCTTGTATTTTCTCCTTAAAAAGTGTACTATTCTTTCCCATCATCATGTGCACTGATCCAAAGTCCATGGTTATACATAGGTCAAGAGAACAGTGGACTCGATGACACGAACAAACGAAACACCATTTAAGGGGCAAAAAATGAATCGCATAGCTCTCTCAGCATTTGCGTTGAAGGTCTATTCAGTATCTCTTCAATTTTACAGCAATCACATGATTATCTAAAGTCCAGGTGTTCAACAATAAGAAATACTTTCGCTGGAAAGAAGTTGGTCATAATATATATGGAATGATGTGTGCTATTCTGTGTACTGTGTTTTAGCCTATGAAATATGGCTTGAATTACATTTTCAAAGTTAGCAGATTGCCGTTTTTGTTCAAGAAAAATGTATTCTAGTTTATCTTTCCTGAATATGTGTGAAACAAAGTGAAAACGACATGATCATGGAATACTGTTTGTATTTTGGCAAACATGGACACCCCTTACCCTGGGTAATGTAGACATATGCATTGTGTAATACAATGAAACTTTCAACTCACACAGTAATCAGTAACAGAATTTCACTGTCCACAAATTTGAGAAATATACGATGCTGTGAATTTGATATGATTCGTGCGTATGATATGTCTCAGCTACATGTGTTTGTACACAAACATTCAGTTTGTGTGAGACCATACAAATTTATAAAGAACATGAAACACAATTAGACACATAGCAAATCTCAGTAGCAGATGAAAAATATATTTAGAATTTTACGATGCTGTTTAATTCACATGATTTATGTGGATGAAATGGAATTTTTTTTAACATGTCTTAGCTACAGGTGTACACGAATCAATTTGTTGAAGATCATACGAGTTAATATGTGGTACGGAAAATAATTGGACCAGCAACAATCCTCTAAGCAGAATTTTGCTGTCCATGAACATAAAAAATATATTAAGAATTTCACGATGCTGTGAATTTGACATGATCCATGTGAGTGAAATGGGTTGTTATATTTCTCAGCTACAAGCGTATGTACACAAACAATCATTCTGTCCGAGACCATACGAGTTAATTTGTTAATATGGAATATGAAAAACGATTGGACACACAGCAAATCACAGCAAGTCGTTTTAAGTAACAACTTGTTCTTACTTTTGGTATTTACACGCAGCTAACAATTTCTCAATTGTTGATTCATCACCTCGACCGAGGAGACTTATGATGTATCTCAGCTCAATCCTATAAACCAATAGACATAGGGGAAGAACAAAAAAAAATATCTCATATCACCATCAATAACAAACTAAATTCTTCAGTTGCCATAGACTTAAAGTAAAATTGAGAGCATGGAACAGAATTATAAGAGAAAAAAAAATGTGCGTCATTATGGATTATACAGTGTTAAACTCACCTTGATGATAATTTGACATTTTACATTGTGAAGCCATACCTACCTCACACTCAATCAAGGATAAGTGTTGATTGAAACTAGAACACCTATTACCCCGCAGACTTGATATGTCAAATTACGCCCCTATTGGGAGCCCTAGCAATAGTTATAAATTGTCCACTGACTGAAGTTGCAGAAGATGAAGTGACAGGAAGTCGGCCGAATAAGGTATGACTTCAACTTTGTGAAATCTCAAATTATAACCTATGTTAAATTTTTAATTTGTTAATGTTCAGCCATACTTACCTTACACCTACATGAAGTAGATAAAAAGATATCGACTGAAACTCTTGGACAGACTACAAAAGCACACCTAGGAGGCAGGTAATCTGTCTGAATCCCTGAACCAACAATTATGTCAATGATAAATACCCAGTAGGAAAAGGGAATCTCAAGTCTCACTATTACTAGAAGCTAGTAAAGCAATTTACTCACTGTTGTATATTCTATCTTTTGACCCAGATGACTACTCTGAATGGAAATGAAAAAATTTATGTGTTCGGAATGATTTGTGTTAACTGAAAACTAGTTTAACAGGTTTTTTACACTGCACTAAAGAAAACTCCTGTAAGCAAGGGAATTGCTTAATTTCACCTGATGAAAGGTTTTCTGCTGGATCAATGTCAGCAACACTGCCTCAACAGGGGGGCATACAGTAAAAGGGCAACTCTCAAAAACATGAAGTTTCTGTCATCCTCAGTAGGGCTATTGCCAGCAGTTAGCTGTTTATAGTAAAACGTGAACAAAGATGCTATCTGTGGATCTGATTGAAAGGCACAAGATATTTTATGTGAAACAAATAGTCGAAAAAAATTCACTGCTAAGGAAACAGACTGCTCCAGTGAATTTGCCAGTTTTCCATCACACCAGTCATGAAACCATTCACATGAATATCAATAGAAGCACAAGGTAGAATCATGTTATAGCCTGGCTATGTTATTGGACACATACATGTACTTACACAAACCTCTCTTAACTATATTGTTGGAGAGCTTTGAAGACTAACTGAAACATTGATGGAATCATCAAGCTCCCTGTAGTCTTGTGTCAGTATTTGTACGGTTGGCATACCACTTAGCTCTCCAAGTGATAAACCAATCTGAGATTCTCGTCTTAGGCTTACAAAGTCTGTCCACAGATTTGATATATGCAACCAAAATGGTGACCTTCTCAACTTTTCTCACTCTTGTTCTAGCATAGCATGCAAGCCATATCTAGTGAGGGTCGGACTAAGTCGATTGTGTGTTGAAATTGATACCCAGGAACACTAGTCATGTTTGACTACCATTTGTCCAAAACATCCAGGTGTCATAAAAAGTCAAGGTATGACACTACAGGAAATGTGGAGTATGCACATTCCATACTAAGTCATCCCTGTTTGAATTGTGCATCAGCGATCAGTGCAGGACTAGGAACCAGACCACATCCGCAGGTTTCCCAGGAATTCCCGCATATGCAGAGATGCCTGTTCTCAGGGGCAGACATCTAGGTATTTTCACCGCCAGGCAACCATCACGATGAAAACAAAAGCTGAAAACTCTCAGAAAAATGCACTTTGGGCTAATTGTTGAAAAGTGTAACAAGACATTGTGCAACATATATAAATTTGGTTGCACAGGATTACTTCAAAGTTGACATTGTGCTGTTTCCTTTCCACAACGCTTCGACCATTGTTCTTCAGCATAGAATCCATAGAAATACATGGTATAGTGATACACGTCCAAGCTACCAAGGACATTCTGCCAAAGAATGCAATCCTTATCATTGTATGAGCACTTTTGCAATTGTAGATGACCGTGATTCTAGCATGCATTCTGTGTAACGTTGCCTCCGAATTAGATTTTACAAGTCAACCCTTTCCATAGATCCTCAAATTTACTTTCTCCTGTTTCGTGAATGCCTTGCCTGGATAACTACAGTTTTTAAATACTGTATCACATTTCCCCACTTGGGAAGTGGCAGTTTGAGATGCAGCTATTGCAACATTGTTTCCTTCTGGTATAGCATCAGAAAATAATTTACATACAACTGGACGAGACTCTCAGACCTTTTTCACAATAATAGCTTGACTGTACAGTAGTAACTTCAAAGAATTATTGCCTGATCATCAGTTGATATTGACTATGGTGTCATATCGTCTCATTCAAGCTGTCCAATGCTGTTCTGGCCCACATAGTGGTGCACTGCAACAGGATTTTAATCATGTACTTGTGAATCCATAGTTTCCTCCCACTCGGCAGTAAAATCATTCTGAGCACCTACATGTTCTT